AACCTTTCTATTCTTGAATCATTCACTCATACTTTTCAAATTCTTCTCTCTTTGTGCCTCCATTTCTTCATTTCCAAGCCCGTGCTTTTCATTGCTGCAACTGCTCCATCTCCAGTTCCCTTTTCTTCAATCTGGTAAGCAAATCCTTTTCCCTCCCCTGTTTTTGCTTTCGTATTTGGTCTATGCATTTTGTTTACTGTGTTTTTGCAAAACAATTTCTTCCATTTTTGCTTCGCTTTATTTTTGCGGCAGGACGTCCTCTGGGACTACCCCTGACCCTTTGGGATGATTGGGGATCATTGGTTAGGTGTGGCTAAGAAGAAGGGTTCGCCGAGGGAGTGATCTTCTCTTCGGGGTTTTCTCATCCTCGGGGAAGTCACCTCCTCGGAGAGGTCACCTCCTCGGACAAGGTGGTTAGAGAGAATATCCCCCATGTGCCTTGCACATGGGCTCCATCCTACATCATGAGGTGCCTATAAATAGCACCCACCCATAGCTTTACAGGGAATGAATTTTGGAGATTTTTAACTCTTGGGAAAGAACTAATTTCCCTTCTCCATTATCAACCTTGAGAGTGAAAGTGAGAGATCCATGGGAGAGCCTTGCCATTATTCTATTCTCTAGCCATTTTGCCTTCTTCTTCACCCAATCTCTTATCTCCATCATCTCCTTTGTTGGCGTGTTCCTAAGTTGAGATTATTGAAGAATCTAAGTCTCTCATCATATTCTAGAGAATTCGAAATTGTTCTTTAAGGATCTTCGAAGATCTTCAAATTTTCCAACTCTTTTCTTGAATCCTCTCCTACAATATTCATCTGCTTATTGTTACTAGTGTTAGACGTTTTATTTTACTACGGTATAAATACTATATAATATATACGCACATAAATGTGTTTATAAGTCAATGATTGCCTACGAATTAAGACCAATGGCAACAACAAAACCAATATAAACATAAACCATTACCTGATATATTGATTGAAGTTTAACAATTTATATATATATGCATGTCTTTTGTCAATGCTTTTTCTAAACTTTTCATTAATTGAATAATTTGATCACCTAATGAGTTTTGTGAATAAACTTTTCATACTGTATATGCTATATATATATATGTATATGTATATAGCTGATACAAAAGAAAAAAAATTTAGGTTGTTTATATATATTGAGAAGTGAGTTTTTTTGTAAGTTTTTTTAGTTATAGAATATTATTGAAATTTTTTTTTTTTTTTTTTGAGAAGATAGTTGTATTTTTTTGTGGTTGGATGTGATGATTGCAAGAGAAAAAATGAAATGATTATGAAATTTGATGTGATATTTTGTTTGGATTTAATTTTTTTGATTTTATAAAATATTTGTCTTGTAATGAAAAAAAACAAAAAACAAAAACCAAAAACCAAGTTCCCATAATCATACTTAGACAGAATTATGTGTTGGGATTGACTTACGCTTATTGTGCCCAGTGCCCATCAATTTTAAAATTAGTTACAGTTGGTGCGTGGCAGTGTTGAGGTGTGGAAGTGGGTTTGGTGAGATAAAAAGTAGGGGAAGAGGAAGTCGGTGCGGGACAGTGAGTTAAGAGTGGGCATAGAGGGAGAGAGTACAGAGAGAAGAATCCAAGTCAGCAGCGCATTTGGTAAAGTTTTGAGGGTTAGGATCACAGGTCTTAAGTTCAAAATTACTTCAATTAATTTTTTTGGCATAATACGGTTGATTAAGAGGTTAAATTTTAAATTGTGTAGATTCGATATTCCTTCGTTGCTCGAGTTTTGACTTAAACGAAACTTATTTTGATGGATCGGAGGCAAGTTTTTAAGTTCTAGTCACTTGCTCGAACGAACAAGTTACAGTCACTTTAGTGATCTCTGCAAGGGAAACTACTTTGAACCTTTTTTATAACCTCCAAAAAAAAAAAAAAAAAGTATACAGAGAAAGAAGAAGAAAAATGGCATGCTTTTATAAATTTAAATATGTGCAAAGGATGTTTTGATCTTAAAAAATAATTTACTTTTTTTATTGACATGTGAACCTAGCAGCCAATTAATGTGAATGGAAAAATGAACGGTACACTTTAATTTACAAATCATTTGAAAATTGTGTAATTATTTTCAAACAAAAGAATTATTCACATATAGACCAAATTATAAGAAAATAAAATGAAATTTGTCCTTAACATAATTAGCATGAGAATTTATAAGAATCAAACTGTAGATAATATTACAATTTCTCTTAGGACCCTTGTGACATCTTGCTTCCACAATGATGAGGTCCATGTACTTATGTGCAGTGGATGGGTCAAGAAAATATATACTTACATGCATATACATATATAAATATTAAAAATATATGTATTGACAGTTGTTTGAAACAATTAGATCGGAAGTAATTGGATCTAATACTTTAAAGTAGTTACATCTTCTTGAGTATTCTTTTTATTTATTATTTTTTTAAAATGCGACAACCATACTAATTTAGGGATTGATTTTATATAATAGTATAATATAAGTATATAGAATGACTCAATCAATACTCTTCTCTTGCGCGCGCGAGAGAGAGAAAGGCCATAGTTTCTCTCTCTAAGAAGATTTTCTGTTGTGCTCCGATGGTAGTTTGGCGACATATCGACAACTACTTTTACACTTTTAAAATGTAGATGTACACTCATACCATATAGATCTAGATTTTCAAAATGTAGATATAGACTTTTGATGTTAGGAATTGGAATTTTGTGGTATTTTCCTTATTTTCTATATAGATTTTTGATTTATCCCCAATGGTTCTTTGTTGTTGAGTGGTTCTTGAGCTTCATCTTCTAGTGCAATGGTGGAGTTTGAATAGTGGCGGTGGTAGACGATGTCTTCAGTGACAACGAGGGTATAATTTTATGCTTGAGGTAGACCTTCCATCCTTGGGAGTGGAGCCCTAGCCACATTTTGCGAGTAGATCTGGGTTTCTCAAGTTGTGATTGCTTTTTGAGACTTTTTATAATTTGTTTTTGATTTTTTTCTTTCGTAGTACTTGTATTCTGTTTTTATTTTAATATATTGCATGTTTTCTAGTTCTCAAAAAAATAAAAAATAAAAAATAAATAAAGAAATTGTTATGTACAATTTAATTAATATATCTGATTTCTAAATGATTATGAGCATTTGAAATTTAATGAGTGAATCTAACATGACCTATCTTGTTAAATAAATATTAATATGGGAAAAGCTATGCACCTTGTTATATATTTTTATTGTGTATGTTACGTATTTTTGTGATAATATTACATATTATTTTAATAAGAGTTACGATAATTTGTGGTTGAGAAATAAAATTACACATTTTTGTAATATTGTTATATATTTTGTAATATTATTACACATTTTATGATTAGAAAATATTTAAATAAAAAAATATGTAGCATCACCATGAAAATACAGGAAAAAAAATGGCAGTGGCAACTTGCACATCCAAGAAGAGAAATGAAAAGAGGGAAGGAAAAAAAATGGAACCGAACAAAATTTATTTTAAAAAAAGTTCCCACTCTTAGTGTGATTAAAAAAAGAGAAATGACTAATCAGTGAATTTTTTAAAGACTAATTACTGAATCATGATAAAGTTTATATTTTTAATTATTAATATTTATAAAATGTATCACTTATTTGTAATTACCTTTCAAAACTACCTCTCAAATGAAATTTTCCCTTAAAAAAAATCTTCATTTTTTTAAAAAAAATATTTGTCCCAAATTCTATTATTATTATTTTAATTCTTCCTAATTTTTTGTACAAAAGGATTTTAGGGGGCAAAAATACTAGACATCAAATATTTTACTAAAAAGTTTTAAAAAAAAATGTTTAAGACTCACAAAAAAATTTCTAATTTGATCTATAATAATGAGATATAATAAATACAATCCCACTAGGTAGCTTGAGAAATTGATGGCCCGAATGGCTCGAGGGGATCAAAACGTTCCCTCTTTTTTTTTTTTTTTTTTTTTTTCATCTCTTTTATCTTCTTCATCTCCTTCATCTTCTCATCCCATTAATAGTTGCTTGCAGAGATAGAGAGACCCCACAATATTTTCAATTTTTTTTCCCTTTTTCAGACTTCGCAAATCTACTATTCCTCCACTTGTTTGATGTAAATAGAGAGAACAATGCACCTTTTTGCTCATGAAGACGTCTCAATGTCAAGTAAGAGGTAGCAAACCGAGTTACCGCAGGCCTTATAAGTTCAATGTCTTTTGTAAACTCCTTCATCCAATGAATAAGATTGGTTCTTGAATAAATGTATGCCACAATCTTTTTTCCTTTACCAATTGTAACACGATGAACTTGTATTTCCTTCTCAAAATCTTCTAACATCAAATCTATGCAATGGGCGGCACAAGGAGTCCAAAACAAGCCCTTTCTTTTATCCATTAACATTTGTCCCGCCAATTTATAATTAGAAGCATTGTCAGTTACAACTTGTACAACATTTTCTTCTCCAACCTTCTCAACAACCTCATCTAACATCTTAAAAACCTTTTCACCCGTTTTTGAAATGTCGGATGTATCTAGTGATGACAAGAAGATAGTTCCATTAGGGCTATTGACAAGAAAATTACAAATTGATCTTCTCTTTCTATCCGACCATCCATCGGACATAATTGTACACCCGGTCTTCTTCCATTGTTCCTTGAACTCATCAAGTAATTGCAATGTCTCTTGCACTTCTTTTTTTAAAAATGTCACCCTAATTTCATGGTAAGATGGTGGCACAAGTCCTTTTCCATAATCCCCAATCTTCTTAACCATGAGTGGAAATATAGGGTTGTTCACACAATTAAAAGGAATTGCACTAGTGTAAAAAAAACGAGCTATGGTTTGACAAACATCATCTCTCTCTTCTTTCTTAAACATTTGATTGAGAGTTTTTTGATTTTGACGTCCAGATTTCTTCATCACAAATTTATCTATGGCACCCACCCGTTTTTGTTTGTTTTGATGATGATATGCTAATAGTTCCACCTCCTCTTCAGAATCATCACCAACATCAAACATCTTTCTCTTTTTATTTTGAGACTCTAATGTTTGAGTTCTTAAAAGACTCATGAACTTTCCTCTAACATCTTCTGGGACTTGAGGACATGGCTCAACATTTTGATGAGTACAAGCTAAATGATGTTTTAATCTATATATACCTCCCGATCGAGTCACATTACAATACTTGCATTGTACCTTTTTGGTTGCAGCATCTATTTCAATTCCATGTTCCCAACCAGGATCCGTTCGGTTACCCGCAACATTTTTCCTCTTCCTCCCTCTTCCAGAACCAGAGGCAGACATTGTTAACTCAATTGACAAACCTACAATCATATATTGAATATCACTGAATCAATTGACTACAATTTACAATTTGATAGTTGTGAAATATCAGAGAGAAAAAAGTCAAGTTACAGTCAAAAATAAATTGATTACAATAGTAATACCATGATGCCCTACAAAGGCCTCATTGAAATTATAGATAAGGATAAATTAGAATTTAGAAGTTAATTTACAAATTACAATTACAAATTATGTTACAAATTACAATTACAAAGGGGGAAAAAAAAAGGGGAATGAGAACAAACCTGTATAAAATGAAGCTGTGGTACACTGGTATGTATCTGCGCACTTTTCCTTGGTGCTATCTGCAAAATAAATTACAAGTTAAAAATTAATTTAATTAGGTTGACAGGAAAATGGAAAAATGGAAAAAGGGGAAAAATGGAAGACGAAGTGGAAAAAGGGGAAAAAAAAGGGGGAATGAAGGTCAGAAAAATGGAAGAAGAAGGAAAAAAAAAAGGCAGCAGCAGAGGAAAAAGAAGATGGAGGAGAAGAAGAAAAGGAGTCGAAGAAGACAAACAGAGGAGAAGAAGGAGTCGAATAGAGGAGAAGAGAAGGACTCGAAGCACAGAAAAGAAGAGAAGAATGAATCGAACAGAGAAGAAGAAGAAGAAGAAGAAGAAGGAGAAGAAGAAGAGAAGACGAAGCAGAAGAAGCATACCTGGAGCTAGAATCTAGATGGAGGCTGGATGGATGGAGGCTGCTCAGCAATTTTCCCCTAATATTTTGCCCTAATCTTACGTCGTAAGTGTTTAGAAGAGAGAGAAGGTGCATCAAACCTGTAATAAAAGCATCAGAAAAGGGCCAAAAGTAGGATCGTATAGGATCGCGATCCAAATACGATCCTACAATCCCATTAACGATCCTAACGATCCTGTTCCGATCCTGAGCAAAATACGATTCAGCATGCGATCTGGATCGATTCTCTAAAAATGGATCGTAAGATCGTACGATCCTACGATCCGGATCGCGATTTTAACAAGGGCAAATTACATATACACCCCTCGAGGTTTGGCTAAATTACAGATACCCCCTGAGGTTTCGGAAATTACATCCCGCCCCCTGAGGTTTGTATTTTCATAACAATTTGCCCCCTGAGGTTTATATTTCATAACAAATTACCCCCTAATTTCTTATGCAAATATAGCATTCAGGGGGGAATTCGTAATTTCTCAAACCTCAGGGGGCATCTGTAATTTAGCCAAACCTCGAGGGGTGTATATGTAATTTGCCCTTTTAAGAACCTTGGCGACAACTACACTAATTTAGGGATTGATTTTATATCATAGTGTAATATAAGTATATAGAATGACTCAATCAATACTCTTCTCTTGCGCGAGAGAGAGAGAGAGGCCATAGTTTCTCTCTCTAAGAAGATTTTCTGTTGTGCTCCGATGGTAGTTTGGCGACATATCGACAACTATTTTTACACTTTTAAAATGTAGATGTACACTCATACCATGTAGATCTAGATTTCCAAAATGTAGATATAGACTTTTTTTTTTTTTGATTCATGTAGATATAGACTTTTGATGTTAGGAATTGGAATTTTGTGGTATTTTCCTTATTTTCTATATAGATTTTTGATTTATCCCCAATGGTTCTTTGTTGTTGAGGGGTTCTTGAGCTTCATCTTCTGGTGCAATGGTGGAGTTTGAATAGTGGCAGTGGTAGACGATGTCTTCAGTGACAACGAGGGTATGATTTTATGCTTGAGGTAGACCTTCCATCCTTGGGAGTGGAGCCCTAACCGTACATTTGCGAGTAGATCTGGGTTTCTCAAGTTGTGATTTCTTTTTGAGACTTTTTATAATTTGTTTTTGATTTTTTTCTTTCGTAGTACTTGTATTCTGTTTTTATTTTATATATTGCATGTTTTCTAGTTCTCAAAAAAATAAAAAATAAAAAATAAATAAATAAATTGTTATGTACAATTTAATTAATATATCTGATTTCTAAATGATTACGAGTATTTGAAATTTAATGAGTGAATCTAACATGACCTATCTTGTTAAATAAATATTAATATGGGAAAAGGTATGCACCTTGTTATATATTTTTATTGTGTATGTTACATATTTTTGTGATAATATTACATATTATTTTAATAAGAGTTACGACAATTTGTGGTTAAGAAATAAAATTACACATTTTTGTAATATTGTTATATATTTTGTAATATTATTACACATATGATTAGAAAATATTTAAATAAAAAAATATGTAACATTACCATGAAAATACAGGGAAAAAAAATGGCAGTGGCAACTTGCACATCCAAGAAGAGAAATGAAAAGAGGGAAGGAAAAAAAATGGAACCGAACAAAATTTATTAAAAAAAAAGTTCCCACTCTTAGTGTGATTAAAAAAAGAGAAATGACTAATTAGTGAATTTTTTAAAGACTAATTACTGAATCATGATAAAGTGTATATTTTTAATTATTAATATTTATAAAATGTATCACTTATTTGTAATTACTTTTCAAAACTACCTCTCAAATGAAATTTTCCCTTAAAAAAATCTTCATTTTTTTAAAAAAAATATTTGTCCCAAATTCTATTATTATTATTTTAATTCTCCCTAATTTTTTGTACAAAAGGATTTTAGGGGGCAAAAATACTAGACACCAAATATTTTACTAAAAAGTTAAAAAAAAAAGTGTTTAAGACTCAAAAAAATTTCTAATTTGATCTATAATAATGAGATATAATAAATACAACCCCACTAGGTAGCTTGAGAAATTGATGGCCCGAATGGCTCGAGGGATCAAAACGATAGTCTGGCGGCTTTCGTGGCGGAGGGGAGGAGGCGAGAGGCGGCGCTAAGAGCAGCCATCGAAGAAGAAGAAGAAGAAGATGCGGAAGTGAGAGAGAGACGTTCGGCCATTCGATCGTGTTAATCTTTGTTTCGCGCTGCCCTCTCCTACTTTTTTGTTTTTTGGGGGTGTGAGTTAGTCGGTAACAGTGGCGTGTGGTTTTCAGCCAATAGTGAATGGTACACGTATTTCAGCGTGTGTTGTCAGATATGGTGGCTAGTCGTGTCTTTATCCCAAACAAACATTTATGATACGAAAAATGCAGATCCAAATAATGTGTTAAATTTTTTATCAATTTTTTTTGTACGAGTGTTAGATCTATATATATTTATACGGAGCTGTTACAAAGGTTTAATTAGAGCTCTTACCGGACAGTTCTAATGAATTGTTCATTAAAAAAAAAAAAAAAAAAAAAAAGATAAAAAAAGAAAAAAAAAAGAGAAAATAAAGATGATCTGAGGTGATTTCGGTGGTGGTGGTGGATGATCTGGATTTCAAGAGAGAGAGAGAGAGAGATCTCAAATAGAAAATCAAGAGATTTTGGAGAGAGAAACTTCATAGTAGAGAAAGAAATTTAGGATTAATCCAATTTCATGTCCTCATCCCAAAACAAACACATCCAGATTAAAGCTTACATCAAACAAAATCTACAGCAATCAAATACACAATTTCCAAGTTAAATTGCTGACTCTACTTTTTACAACCACTCTCTCTGTCTGGTTAGTAAGAAAATGCAAAAAAAAGATCAGGAAAAAAAGAAAAAAAAAAGAAGAGAAAAAAATGAGATTTTAGAAATTGAACTCTTTCCATCACATTTTTTAGCAACAAAACTGGGGATTGATAATGTTTGATTCTAGTAGCAAAAATCAACACAAATTCAAAACAGATTCCAAATTGATTTTTGCTCCAACCGATTCGATCAGTAATCGGAAATGGAATGAAAAGAATGAGCTCGTTTGGTGGCCGCTGAAGCCGATGGTGGAGCTCGTCGGCACACATAGAACCAGCACAGTAAATCAATAATATGGGTTGCGATATGGGTCTCCTCTCTTTCTCTCTCTACTCTGTTTATTTATTTATTTTTTTTTTGAAATGAAAGGTAAAACTGAGATAAATAGCAATGGGGGTGTAAAAAGATATGTGAGTGTATATAAAAGTTGGGCCTTTTTCGAGCCACAGGCTCAAGCTACCAATCTTTTTTGTAATAAATATTCACTTTTAATTTGTCATATAATTAATTATATGGGACCTCTCTGTTTTACAATATTTCCAATTTATAAATCTTTAACGCTATTCAAAAATTGATTAATACTCATATGAAGGTGTGAATCTGTGGTCTAACACTTG